AAAGTTATACTTGCGGGTGTGTTTATTTATTTATTTTATTTTAATTGATAGTAGGGTATGTACAAGTGTGTTTTTTGATTATTTGCGTATAATTGATACCAAAGCATTGGTTAGGAAACAGAAACACATATCAAAATTCAATTTGTTATGATTTGAATCATAGATTTGAAGTGAACAAACCTTAACGACAATATAATTTGTTTCTGCAGGTGTTGCTGTGGGTAATAGTTGATATGATCGAGTGGGGGTGATATTGGGAGCTAAACTAAGATTTTTTTAAAAAATTTTTTTGAGGACTTAAATCTGTTAGTATTTTGTATAAATACTCTTAAATGATGGTTGATGATATTTGTTTTGCTATATGGAATTTCATATTTTGTATGCACACTTCTTTTTTTTCTTGAAGAAAGAATTTTGTAAGGAATTATCATTCACCAAACGAGGTTGTAAGAAATCCTACACTACCTTGCAGTAGTAACTCGCTTTTCAATATTGTTGATCTTCCGTCCAGGTTCATCAAAAGAGTTGAATTGAATAAATAGTTGTATGGACTTGACGAAGACTAGAAGAAAAGCTTTGCAATATTATTTGGATGTGATTGATGGTATAAATGGAAAGAATATTTTGTTTCTACGTAAAATATTTTTTTTAATGCATCAATTTTATATAGAAAAATATTATTTTTATTTTTCAGCATTTGGTTGACACTTAAAACAAAAATATTTTATTACTTAATTTAGAAATTTTGATTTAATAAAGTGTAATTCATGACTTTTTAGTGAGTTAATATATTTATTTGAAAATGGTAAAAAGTGTTGAAAAAATAGTGAGTGAGAATCAATTTTATAAAAATTAACTTACGAAATTTTAAAAGGTAAGCCATTTTTTGAAAAATGATACAAAAATATTTTGCTTAAAAAATATTTTACTTACTTTTTATTTAGTCAAATAACAAACAAATATTTAAATGTTTTACGTTAAAATAAAGGGAACCTAAATTACCAGCTGCTTCCATATCTATATGTAAGCCCTCATATCTTATCCATATAAGATTGTGATTCACGTTATCACATGTATAGATCTAATTTAATTTATAATTTATTAGAATTCATAAAACTATAATTTATTAGAGATTCAAAAAAACGAATGTTCAAGTTTTCAACCGAACTACCACGGCCTGCGTTGTCAACCACATGGCAAAGAAGTGAATTTATTTAAACAATTTAAAGTAATGATAGGGATCATAAAAAAATATCATAAAAATGGTTATGAAAGATTCTTTGTCGTTACATCACATATATAATAAAATATCTCACATTAATCAAAGAACGAAAAATTGTATCTTTAACTGAGCAAGAAGCCTACAACAATGCCATCTCAAAGCACTTAGTAAAGTAAAACAAAAACGAATGATAGAGGATGTAGCAAAAAAATTGTATCTTTAACTGAGCAAACTCATATTTGTTTGTACAACAACTATCCCAGAGAAGTAGACAAGATGAAGGTACAAAAATTATTAAGTATAATTTGAGAAATTGGAAAAGTCAACACCCCTTGGCCACATTACAAATCTGAAAAATCTGGACAGATTTCACAACGTTTTTGAAAAACGTCATAAAAAAAAACGTCGTTGTATCCTCTTTTTCTTGTAGTGTCTTTTATCCTATAAATAGTGGTTGGCACTATCTTAATAAAATGACCAACAAAGTCAGTATGAAGTTGGTAATGATGTATTGATAATGCCTCCATCCATTCCAAACAACAATAAGATCTGCAAAACTCATGCTAGTTTAAGTATTTCAAAACAGACATACCATCATAGGTCTCACTAACAAAATCTAATTTCCAGCTCATGTTAGCCTCTACTTCCATTTCAATTCACCCCTAGCTCTGAGTTCTGCACAAGATAGCACACTTGAGAATATAATTTTATAACAAAGGTTGAGTTATAAACTCAAAGTTCACGAGTTTAAGAAATGCGATAACGTCATTGATTGTACGAACTTATGAAAATAAAAAAGAATAGAGCATCACTAGCTTTATATTGCGCGATATCACCAACAATTGGAGCTGAATTATGCTTGTATATCACAAGATCAAGTAACAAGCGAGCCCTATGCAAATAGTCAAACTACATGCCAAAAGTAGGGAGTACGTAAAAACATCACACATTATAAAATTAGTCTTCATAAAACATAAGATACAGATAAGTGGATAGTTGCGTATAAATGTAGGTACCTTGATTACACCCGAAGGAAAAGGTTTCCCTTGCATATATTTGATGACGAAAAGACCACAATCATAGCTATAGGAATGAGTGTAGTTGTAACAATAGAGTCAACGAACTTAGAGATTATAACATTAATGCTTATTTAAAATTAAGAACGATAATGTAGTGTATTACCTGTTGTCTTGGCGTGGCATGTCTTCCAACCATTGAAATGCAAACGAACTAACATCTTGACCATTGAAATGCAAACGAACTAACATCTTGAACATAATCTTCTCCATGCGCATATTGAAGCAGCTTATGCAATGATTGTACCTGTTGGTGTAGGTAGTAAGGTACATAGATCAAGAAACAAAAAAGTGGATACAAGTGGTATCATAATGGTTATTCTATTACCAATAATGTAGCTTGATTTTTTCGATCCTCATCGGTGTCGATACATCTGCTGGAGTCGAATAGATAGGCAACCCGTTTTTGCATGTTTACATTCAAGACAACCAGTGGTTTTCCCCATGGTTGAAGGGCATGTAAATCTAAAAATATAACGTCGAATGTACATGCAAAAAATAAATAAATACATAACATAGATCAAATGTTATTGTGCATGGTAAATTTGGAAATTGGGTAATAGTAGTATTTTATCATGTTAGCCCCTCACAAGCATGAAGGGGGCCAGTGTATCTGTAAATTCCAAATTAATCTTCTACTATATCTTTCATTGTGTCATCAGAAGGTTGACACAAAATCTTTTGCTGCATATTCAATTTTAACATATAAATAACTTGTGCCTAAATAAAAAAGTCTTTAGGTATGGCTAATACTTACCGATACATGGATCGGAAAGTACCAAACATTGTGATCCTTATTTGGAAACTTTTTCCTTTGTTTATTTGTCAATTTCACAACAATGAGATTTATAATCTGCAGTGCAAAATATATGAAATTTATGAATAGGCAAAGAAAAGTAACTTGGATGATGGAATGGTAGCAAATAAAATAGGAGAAGGAGAAAAGTCTTACACATGAGGATATCCACTGATATGGTTTCAAGGACCACAATTCCTTCCGCGTTGCAGATTGTGCTTCCACGTAGTGCAGTTTCATCCATACAAGATATTCCCTAGCACATGGATAACTATGTGAGTTAGAAGGTATAGTACTTTATATATAACAAGTTAAACGTAGTCAAATTGTACCCTTCTGAAAGAGATTCATCAAATGCATATCGTAGAACGAGACTGTCATAGTCATTTAATGGGTCTGGCAAAGGCATGGATGACTTGTAAAGGTATTGAGAAGAATAGTGCATAAAACAAATCAAGCTTGGTTAGTGTATGTTCATGAAGATGGAGTTAGCGCAAAATAACCACATATACAAAAGATACTATAATAGTTAGTTCCAAACCTTTGGGATTTCAGGAACAACATTACCCCCAAGTTGATCAAGTAAATTATCAAATAGCTGATACAAGTAAAAGAAAAGTAAGAAACAAACACTATTTGTTACACATATATCAAATATGTTTTGAGACACAATCATTTAGTTTACTTGATTGAGATTGTCATGAATATTATTGTCAACGTTGTTGTCAGTTGACGATGGCTTCAACTGTGGTCTTTTCTTCATTACATCAAATTTCACAAAAGGTGTACGTAACCACTAACTGGCTTTGCAATTCTGGGTCCCTCAAGTCTGAGGACCACGAACAACACTACATGATGATGACATTGTTACAGCATTCACTTAAACTGCCTTTGTATCGCTCTTTTTTGCGCGCGATCGCCCTTTTTGTGGAATAGAAAGTTGTTCATTATTTAATGCTTTCCCACCAGCCAATTTGGCTCGTTTCTTTGCAACTGCCTTTGCATTTGGTGGTGTGAGGATTGGTTTTGTTTTTCTCAAATGCAAAGTTTCCATTGGTTCTTTGTCATTCATATTCCTTATCTCATCCTCATCTACAAACTTTGGGGAATTGGGTGCAACCTTTTCGATACCACTATCATCGAGACCAACCATTTCAATGTCAATTCGATGCTCCTCATGTAGTTTGCTTGGTGGTGTTTTAACATGTCCACCATCACATGGAATGCGTCGTTCTAACAACTCAAGAATTTGACCAACTTGGTTCTCCATTTTGACCAGTCGCTGCTCTGCAAGTAGTTTGCTTGGTGGTGTTTTAACTTGTTCTCCATCAACTAGCATGTGTTTTTCTAACAGCTCAAGAATTTTTTCAACTTGATTCTCCACTTTGGTTAGACATTTCTCATCCTCATCTTGCCTTGTGTCCTTGTGGCCTTGGACCAAAAGGGCATGAATTTCAATGACTTGTTTCTCAACTTTAGCCAATCGGGAGTCATCATTCTTGTCAATTCTTCCCTGGCTAAGAGTTACTGCATTGGACTTTTCAACAATGTTAGGCAAAGCCACCTATTCACACATATACAATAACTTGTTAATGTCACAGGTGTAATGTAAATTGAGCTATAATTATAAAAAGTCATGTGTTGTAAATATTTACCTCAACATTTGAATATCCTCCCAAAGCTTTAATTTCATTCAAACCCTGCTTAATTTCTGAATTGCCCCAATAGGATAAGCGAGGAATGGAGTTGGAAGTAGCCACCAACTCCCTTTTGCGAGCAAATTGTTCCAAGTAAAATAAATACATGGGAAAAAAAAAAGAAAAAAAAGAAGTCATTTTAATGTGTGTTAGACAATATGCAATAAAAAATAATAGATGAAATAATTACACATCAAGGGGAAGTACCATTAGAAGAAGCAAACAGCCGCACATAGCAGACCGCTCTTTGACCTTGCAATAGCAATGCGGTCGACAAGAAAATCAAGTGTGTGCTTTGCCCAATTGAATTGACTGATGGACTCAACATTTTTAACCATTTTAATGAATGATTGCTGTACGCCTGCCTTTGTGGTGGGGCACAAGAGGGCTCCAATGATGTATAAGACAAATTTCCTTTTAAATTCAGTTCCAGCATCTTTTGTTTCAAGCAGATAAGATTTCAGAGATGTGAACGGAACAAATTTATTCTTCCCCGCAAGTTCATCACATAGGTTTGTAATTTCATCTACGGACTCCGTTAACTTCACAGGTAGACCATTGGAAGGTAATCCCATCAACTCATGAACATCTTCTATGGTGAGAAGCATTCGAAGACCGTGGATATTCAATGAATGAGTTGAAGGATAAAAGTTCTGAACTAACCAATGACACAAGTCATGATCTATGTGTGTGCACCTAAGGCTTAAGATGCCATGAAACCCCATATCAGTCACTGCTTGTTGTTGTGCTTTGTCCAACCTTCTAATAATCTTACAAATTGATGTAAGCTCTATCCGGGTTTGAATTTTTACTTTTGGAGGCTTTTGTTGGACCACAGTTTTTAATTGGGCATATTGTTCAGATTGCAGCTTTCCCATTTGTATATACTTATTTTTTTCTTCTTCATGAAGTTGGTTCCATTTGTCCCCAATATCCTACATTACATGCATAAAATCATATGAACAATTACATACAAGCTTACAAGTACAAAAGGAATACTACAAACAACAAGAATACGTTGCACTTACCTTCATGTCTACTTTCATTTGGGTTTTTTTTTAACTCCATTGATTGTTCTTGGCTATAAACATATGAAAATGAATATAAGAATTCGTATAATGGAAAATATATAACTACATACAAATAGATATTAACAAAATACCAAAAGAAAATGAATGGAGTGATCGGGCGCTTTGGAGGATCAGTCGGTTTATCCATTAGGCTTCAATCAGAATTCATTGTAAAGAAAGACAAGAAAAATAAACTCATAATATCTTTGATTAGGAAAAAAAACAAACAAACAAAAATCTTAAAGGTTATAGTACATTCATCAAATGCACGACATGCACACATGAATGGAGTTGTTTTATAATAATGTAGTTAACAAAGGCTATGTTTCCAATGTAAAAAGGAAAGGCACTAAAAAAAATTCTAATCATAAACAAAAAATGATACCCCAGTAGCTTAGGTCACATTACCTTAAAAAACAGACTAAAGAAGTTTATTTTTTTGGACAAAATTTGTAATTTGGTAAGGAAATTTTTTTGTCGCAAAAAGGAGCCAAATATTTTGGCACCATACGAATTGATAATAAAAACGACATTGTTTTTTATTTTATTTTTGGGACTATTGTAGAAAAAAATAAAAAACGATGTCATGGTTATGTATAGCTCCTTTGCTGCTTCAAGTCTCACTTTAGGTGTACAGTCAGAAGGTTGAATATCTTTTTTAACTGGTTTTACTTGCTTTGGTTTTAGCTATGTTGTGGTTCACTTTCCCATATTTTATCTTGCTAATTTTTTTTTTTTTATTCCCTGCATGGGTTTGGGGATGGCTTGAACCACATAAAGCACTTGAAAATTATAAATGTTTAGGGAAGCAATTTGTTTTTTAGAATACAAAATACAAGAAATTAGAAAATGGGAGAATGATTTGATATAGTTGTATTCAGTAATATACATACACTAACTAAAGATTTGATGCACTAAGGACCCTTGCATACTGCTATACCCACTGCCACTCACAATTGAATCTTGGGTTGTGAATAGAGCTTCTCTTGTATTAATGCTATGCTTATTATTTGATTTTATTATTTACATTTATTCTATCATTGATACTTTAGATTCATAATCTATAATACTAATATATGAGCACTACTACAAAATTGGTTAAAGTTCACAATTTTTAACTTTGACCTTATACTTTTAGTCTTCGTTTTTTTCTAATACAAAAACTGTGATGAATGAGGGTGTGACTATACAAGTTATATCATAAATATTTTGCTTTTAATTTGGCCATCACGCATATCATATAATTTAAATATATTGAAGCATAGAGGACCTTGTAGGAAAAAATATGTACCTGTCCAAGAAGTAGTTCAGCAACAACACAACCAGCAAACCAGGAGTCAATAGCTGTCGTGTACTCCGTCGATCGAAATATAAGCATAGATGTAAGAGGTATTGGGCTCTCCTTTTACCTGCCAAAAATAATGAATGAAGCATTTCAACCAAAGTACAAAACTAAGGGGGAGGGGAAAAAATTAAAAGACATAAACCAACATGTCAAAACTTTAAAAATTCCAAAATGAAGTTGTTATTTGTAAAGAGTAATGCTAGAGACCCCAAATATTCTACCAAAAGTTTTACCAAATGTCTCACATGGGTGTGGGATCCACACAATGTGGGTCCCATGTGGGTCCCACACCCATGTGAGACATTTGGTAAAACTTTTGCTAGAATTTTTGGGGCCTCTAGCATTTTTGATTTGTAAAAGAGTTAATGAGGTGGTGGGAAAATAGCATATATGAAAGGGCATCATTAGTGATGGAAAAATGTAAAATAATTACAATTACACATGAGGGTTTATAGAACTCTAATAAGTATATAGCATATTAATTAGGATACATGTTAGAGTGTAAATCCTTTGGAAATTAGGCCAAATGTTATAATTTGCATATGGTACACATCTCAAAAGGGGTGTAGTAGCATGACCATACATGTCACGACCCCAAACCGCCCCTAGTAGTTTGGTGCCGTGATAGCCAGTAATCCAAGATTACCGAAGGCCAACTTTCAATATTCACACACAATCAGAGTATAAATATATGGGGCTAACATGTGCGGAAGTGATAATTTAAAATACAAGTGGTCCATAAGAGCAGTGCATAAGTCAAATGGAATGGCATACATCTTTACATAGCTTTAAAACTTGAATACAAATAAAATGAAGTACAAAAATACATGTTACATCTTGATAAAAGGCTTCTCAAGCCGACATAAACAAAACACATAAGCTTCAAGATTGCCGACATAAACAAAACACTTGAGCTACAAAACATGAAACATAATCTTCAGGATGCCGACATCCCCACTGCCGACATAACATGCATACAAAACACACACATCTCGGCCTAGCCGACTTCTTTCTTGTTACCTACATATATACATAGGGAGGGTGAGCTTGGATACTCAGTGAATGGTACAAGTAATAAAGGGGTTAAATGAATGATACCCGAGATCCTTTCAAAACAATACATAGTATATCCTTGTCAAAACCATGCATAACATAGCTTAGCTTGGCTTGAAATAAAACATCATTCGGAACTTGGTCTTTCAAAACTTACTTACATACGTAACATACGTCAACTTAAAACATGGGGTGATGACATTCCGGCAAAACAAAAGCATAACCTCGGCATAACCTTGGTCCTTCAAAACTTACTTACTTACAAGACCCACGCAGTAAACCGTCAGTGGCAAAACAAGACAAAGCAAGGGAGATATCTCAAACAAGGGTGCTACGAAAGTTTAGAGTCCTTCAGCATGAGGGACCTATGTTACAAAGGCCCGTAGCCCTTTAACACTTGGGTGCTGCGCAAGTTTAGAGTCCTTCAGCACAAGGGACCTATGTTACAAAGGCCCGTAGCCCTTTAACACTTGGGTGCTGCGCAAGTTTAGAGTCCTCCAGCACGAGGGACTTTCCGAGAATGTCGTCAAAACAAAACTGATACTTGATACATAAAATAGGGATATCATTCATGCTTAACAAATACTTTTATCAAAACAGGGCAAAGCTTTATCAAAACCTTAAGAACATAACTTTATTAAAAATACCACTCACATAGTTCTTGGGATGTCAGGGTCAAGGCAAAGGTCCAGGTCCTACAAACACATGGCAAAACATACTAAATGCACTTCTCAAAACAAGTCTTACATGCATGCAAATGATCTCAGAAAAACATGCTGGGGAAAACATGCTGGAAGTCAAAACACTGTTTTACATGTCAGGAAGACATGCTGGGTACCAACCAGGTCTTTGCCGAGGTCCCACACCTCCTGGCCGAGATGTGGCTACTTAGGCTTCGGCGTGCGGTTGCATGCCGAGGTGCACACAAGACAAACTAAAGGTGTAAGTGATCATGCAAGATAGGCCAAGGTGAGATACGATGCTTGGCCTAAGTGTGAGGTCCAGGTAAGAATGATCTCGGCGACTACACTTTGAGAAGTGCGGTCTGGAGATCTGGGTTTCTACCCGTGAAGAACAGGAAGAACATGAACATGAAGATCATGAAGAACATGAATGCTAAAATCATAACTTCTTTATTACAAAAATCTGGGATTTCATGCTATGAGTTCGAAAACATGGACCTGGGTACCCATACTTGAAAATCATGTGAAAACAAACACAAAAACATGGATCTTGGCATGAACTTTCGGATCAAAACATGACTTTTCTTGAAGAACACATGAATACCATTTTCTCTCTCTAAACCCGAACTTCAAAGCAATGCATGACTTACAAATCATATTCAATCATGCAATGCAATAACATAAACATAAAGAACGACAAGAGCAGATTAAGAATCTAACCTTAGAACACGGATCTAACGGTTCGATCTCAATGAGTCAAGCTTGGAAATCTATCTCCTCTCAAGAACTCCTCTCTCCCTCTTCTAGAGCTTCTCTCTCCTCTTCAAAAACAAAGATATAACAAATGATAGGTTTTCTCTCTCTATCGTCTGACTTAACACTTAGCTTAGACACGTGGTAACGGCTGGTTGGTTCTCTTCAAAAAGGTGATAAATTGACAAGACAAGACTATGAGAAAGTGTATCTAACAAGCTACTCGGTATGGCACTCCGGCAAGTGGTGACATCGGCTAAGGACAAGGCTTCGGCAACTAAGGTGACAATGACCTCGGCTAGGAAGGATGACACTTGACTAAGCTGTGCCACACCTTGGCCTAGATGTGCCACACCTCGGCCTAGGTCATACCACTCCAGGACAAGATCACTCAGGTGCAAAGGTGACATCTCGGCCTTGGTGATTCACACCTCAGCCTAGATAATGACATCTTGGCCAATATGCCAGGGCGAAGGTGGAGGTCAAACAAAGGGGTTCCAAGATACTTCTAGACTGAAGATGACCTCGGCTTAGAATGATCTAGGCATAACGTAACCTAGGCTTGGCATAACTTTGGCTTAACATAACTTAGGCTTAACATAGTAGGGAAAGGACAAGGCATGCAAGCAACACTTAGACATAACACATAAGCACAAAACAAGGCATGGACCTTACTTAGGCAAAACAAGTCAAGATTCATGAATGCAAACTTAGCAAGACAAGGTTATGTAAATGAACATGAACATGAACATGAACATGACCATGACATGAATATGGGTCGTTACAGCATCTTAACATGGCAAAGCATACAAATGCATGCAAACATGACTAGGACATAAAATGTGGGTTGTTACAATACATACCACACATAAACCTATATAAACTCTAGTTTGGAATGAATCAATAAATCAAAGACCCCAAAAACAGAAGAACAATAATTTTTTAAAGGCATTTTTTTGTTTCATGTATCTTCATGCTCTCTTGTAGAAAAAGAAAAATAAGAAGTAAATTAATAATTTAATGTCTTTGAAGTTTGAGGGTTTTGAATGAAAATAGGTTTTTCTCAAATCAAGTAATTTTGATATATTTTTTTTATTATTGAATGGAAAATCAAGATGTGTGTATTTGCT